ACATTCTGTGGGTCAGGAATTCAGATAAGACTTGAGTGGCTAAGAGCTGATGTCATCCGGTGGCTTCTTCACTTACATGTCTGGCACCTGGGCTGGGATGAATGAAGGTTAGGTTCATCTGGGACTGTTGACTTGGGTACCATGGACTCTCCATGTGGCTTTTTACAACAGTGAAGCTGGTTCTTCAGGGAAGTTTCTGGAGAGCAGATTTTCCAAGACCACCAATTGGAAGCTGCATAGTTTTTTGTTTTTTGTTTTTCCAGTAGGCTCTACACCCAGCAGGGAGCCCAACTCTGGGCTCAGACTCACAACCCTAAGATCCAGACCTGAGCTGAGATCAAGAGTCAGATGCTCAACTAACTAAGCCACCCAGGTGCCCCAGAAGCAGCATGGTTTTACGTGACCCAGCCTTGGTGGCCATACAGTGTCACATCTGCCAAACTCTTCTGGTCAATGTAGTCATGAGGTTGACCAGATTCAAGGGGAAAGGAATTCTGACTGTTTCTTGATTGTAGAATACAAGGTCATACTGCAAAAGAACATATGGGGTGGGAGTGTTGTTTTGTCTGTTTTCAGGCTATATAATCTGTTTTAATTACTGACTGGTTGAATGCAGTATTTTTTCCTATCTCTCTGAGGACATTATTATTAATTTTCTTCTCCGTATACACAATCTGTTTTTGAACATTTGGGGGAAATTTCCAATTGAAGCAGCGTATTTAAGGCTTGGCCTGGTTGGATTCCCTAGTAAATAAACTCCTGCTTTGGCTTGGCTGTCAAAGTGCTGGGAACTGATAGCTGGAAATAGGGAAGGATATCTCAATACCTATTGTCTTTGCGTTCACTTAACCCCACTGTTTCCTGGTTGGAAACCCTGCTTTCCATTAGGCCTGGTGTGCCCCAGGCTGCAGAAATGAAATCTCGGGTCTTGGCCAGCTGTCAGGGTAGAGACCTAACTGTTCTTATTTTTTTATTTCGTATTTTTTAAAAGTTTATTTATTTATTTTGAGAAACAGCTCATGTGCAAATGGGTGAGGGGCAGAAGGAGGGAGAGAACCTAAGCAGGCTCCCGCTGTCAGTGCAGAGCCCAAGGTGGGGCTCGATCCCCAAAACTGAGATCATGATCTGAGCCAAAACGAAGAGCTGGATGCTTAACTGACTGAACCACCCAGGCCCCCCAAGACCCAACTGCTGTTTTCTTCTTAAAGTTTATTTATTTACTTAGAGAGAGACAGAGTGTGAGCAGGGGAGGGGCAGAAGGAAGGGGAGAGAGAATCCCAAGTAGGCTGTGCGCTGTCAGCACAGAGCCCAGTGTAGAGCTCGAACTCACAACTGGTGAGATCATGAACCATAAGATCACGACCTGAGCCGAAACCAAAAGTTGGACGTTTGACCGACTGAGCCACCCAGGTGCCCCAAGACCCAGTTGCTTTCAAACAGCTGCCAGTCAATACTATTTTGTTGTTGTTGTTGTTGTTGCTGTTTTTTAAGCACTCTCACCCCCCATTGGAATCTGCCACCATTTCTCTGACACTTTTGAACACCCTGTAGCATAAATAGAGCTGATTCTTTCTTTCCCTACTGTCAGTCAGCCTGGGATTCTTGGGTCTGTTTAATCAGTTCCCTCTCGACTGTCTGCTTTTCCAATTTGACTTGCTGCTTCCTGTCTCACTCTCCCTGAGGTCATTGTTGTTTGTCCTCCTACTCCAGTGAGAACTTCACTGCACCCCAATCCTGACCAGTTGGAGTTGTTCATTTTCTTCTGTTGGAACGCTTCTAGAGACTGAACTGTTACCTCGGGTGCGTTTGACCTCTTTCTTCTTGTCCCCTTCCTTGACCAGCTCTCCTTAATTAGTATCAGCATTATAAAAGGTCAGAGTTTACTTTCGTTATTTATAGACCTTAATATTTTTGTGCTTCTTGGTTTTAATTTCAAAAAGGCACGTATTAAGATCTATTGCCATTAGGTCCTGGCTTTCCTTCTTAACATGGTGGAATTATTTTCTTCTTCCATGTCTTCTTTTTTTTTTTTTTTTT